TTTTATGCTAAGATACAGAAACAGCTACAATGTATTTTGGTTAACATCTGTATACTAAAACTAGTGAACAGAGATTCCAGATCTATTATAAATAATAATTACTTCTAAATAAAGAATCAGTAGCAAGAAATATAGATTTGCCTGGTACCAATTTGTCTACATCTTCCAACAAAGTGTAGAGAAATAGCGAAAATTCAGAGTGCTTGACTGAATTTGAATGCTTGCAAAACAATAACCGGATTTGAAACCTGAATGTTTATTGCTTGATGAATAAGTTTACTGAAAGAGAAGCAGGATTTCACAACCACGTGTACCAATAAGATCTTTGTACACCTATACAGTATACTGCTAAATTTCTAACAGAAGGATTACCAATATTCCAAAAATTGTGATGTTTATTGTATCGGCACCGTACCATATAATAAACATTTTGGCAGATTCAAAGTGCAGTCTTATTGCTCTGGAGAATACTTGTAAAACACTTTAGAAGGCATACATAAGCCGATAAATTCCACATCCTGTTGTCAGCATAAACGTTTTTACAGACTCTAATTGCAGTGTGATTACTTAAGGTAAATTTCATAATAAACACTGTAAGATATATAATCTGATACATTAAACATCCTGTTCTCGGAGTAGGGGTTAAGTCAGCTATCCCTTCGCGCATGCTTTGTTGATTTCGAAGGTATCGTATTACGGTGTCGCATAAACAGTCCACTGACACAATCGGCAGTTTATTGCTTCATTTTCTACTTGGATTTCTACTTCAGTCGTAGACAGTAAAATACACATGGAAAATAAATTTGAAATGCTTAGCAGTTGAAATTCTCAAAAGAAGTACTTTAAAATCTTAAATAATAATCAAGAAAACAGGGCAAAGCAGCTCATTTTATTTCTGATTTTACAACTTTTTTTTCTCATTATACTTTGATGATTTGTCTACTGGCTGAAGAATAAAATATACTGTTAGGGTAGAAGTAATAACAGTTGAAATATAAAGGTTTAGTATAAGAAAGGTTTCATATTTATTAAGGAGGTTTTTAGCAATTATGAAAATGAAGGTTGAGATTTTTGAGACAATTAGAAGTATTTTTAATCTTTACATAAAAATCACTTTGCTCTTGGAGTTGTAAAAAAAAATATTCGATTTATTCACAAGGAAATTGTTAGCAAAAATACTTCATTAAAATAACTGATTTTTTGTACAAATAACATGTAATGTTTACTAAAAGTATGCCAAATTTTGTGAAAGTACACATACCGTATTAAAAGTTATAATATTAAAACTATATACAAGTAAAAATGGTCATGTGGTCAGTCCCTGGGACCGAGCCCGTGTTGGAAGAGTTAATTTGTTATCCCAATTCACTAATGTAGAATTTTGTCCCACTGCCTCAAAATTGGCTTTATGAAAATTATTAACTAACCTTTCATCATGTAGCAAAACATTGAACCTAGTCCTAAGTGTTCCCTGACTTAAACACTTGTAATCTCATTCTTCATTGTCTGAAATAGAACTTTGTTTGGCTTCCTGGCCACTTACTTTGTTTAGAAAACATCTTGAATCACTTCAAGAAGTTTTTCTTCAGTATGTGAATCTATAAATTCACTGTCATTATGTCAAAAAGTAGTCTGCCATAAATAATCAGTATCCTTTGAGCAAGGACTTTCAGAAATTTTTTCATTAAAGGTCCAGGACTATCACTTTCACGTGAATAAAATTGATGGTCCCAAAGCAAGATTTTGTTTTTAAACAATGTAATTACTTGTTGATCCTGCACTAAAATACTGCACAGTACAAAGACTGTCACGTGTGGAACTTGTCCATAATGAAGCAACTTGCAAGCACACCAACATTTTAAAGCTAACATCTTCATAATGTAATTACTTCAGAATAACTTGAAGATCAATTAAAGAATTTACTGAAGAAAAGTGGGAGGGTATGGGTGAGATGAGCATCCAAAAGACTCGCTTCCCTGAGAATTCTGAGTAAAGCTGTTTTATTAAATCTGTTAAATGTTATTGCACCAGAAATTTGAACAACTGTCCCTCCCCAAGAAAAATCATGAACTTGTAAATTTGTTTGTAATTATGAAATCTTATTTTTGGTTTGTAACTGTTGTACAAAAAATCTATAATAATTTATGAAATGATGTATAAAAATGCAGTTTTATAAAATGAACTTAACATTACAAACTAGTGATGATTGATATTGGATGACAGCTTATTCATGGAAATGTCTCAGGCTGTAAATGGTTTTTGAATAATTAATTCTTGTACATATTGTTTGCCATTTTAGCCTCTCTGGAAAATGGAAATAATGAAAAAATATAAAATTTTATTGACAGAATACTAGTAGTAACACAAACTTTGTTTAATGTGGCACAAAAAATTCAAAACAAAGCAATGTTCAAGGATCGAACATACCACTGTAATACACTTTTGTCTTATGTGTAACAATACTGGCTTTGCCACATTTATGAAATTACAGCTGGAAAAATAATCAAAATAATGGAAACAAACAGCCAACTGATCAATTGCTGCAACCTATGCACAATACATTGTAATTCTTCTAATATAATGTGATTCATTTAAATAATAATTTACATTATCAACTTGTAACTTCTATATCACTTAAGTTTCTTATACATTAGTAAAATAGACCAAAGATTGTAAATCATAATGTCTATGTCCCTACTACAATGAATATAATCATATCAGTAAACCTACACTCACTTAAATTTAGTTGAACTTTCATAATTAAAAAAACCAGTGTAAATTCTGTAATAAATTTATTCAATGTAAATATAAGTCATCAGGTTATCCAAGAAGTTTAGATACAATAATCTAATCAACTAAGCTAGTAAATTCAGTAATAGATCATTACTTACAAAACAGAACTATAGGTCTATTTATTTTGACACACAATTTTCATGAAATATTAATATTTTAAATTATGATTCATAATCGACCAAATTCTTGAGACTTCTGTTGTTATGGTGATGTATTTTAGTTCCAACTGTAGGGGCACGTACAATTCACTTGAAACCAGACTTAATTTTACTACATTTTATTTCAAGCCTGGATTTAACCATTTCTCATTTGCTATTTGAATCATAAAAATTTCCATACAGACAGTATTAGTATGTGCGTGTTTTCTGAGGAATTATACTTAATCTCGAACATAAGGAAAGGCAAAATGATAGGTCATTTGACTCCTCTACATCATCCTGCACCTAAAAAATCTGTATTATCCTTCAGATATTATTTAGTAAGTATTGTCAATGTAGTGTGGAAGGCTGTATTCTTCTGTGTTTTTCTCCCAGATTTGATTGTTAACATATTGTATGTATTATTATTTGTTAGGTTCTTCTATAATGCACAAAAGGAAAGTATTGGATTTCTTTTGTACATCTGTATATGTATCATTCTTTTTTTTCTAGACGTAGATATAATATACATAGTTCAGTATTAGATATATTTTCATTGTGAAAAACAACAAGTTTTCTTATTCACAAATGCGATGCTTGAGGATATTGACTAACACCACTATTGGCTCTAAATTGTTCTTTAATATTTGTTACCAGTAGTGTATGAGTTATTGAACCGGTATTATGCTTTTTTACAATATTGTCTTGTTTATGTTGTTAAGTAATGGAAGAACATTTCTTTGACTATCACATGAACATCACTTACTATTCAAGAACTTTGGTGGAACATGTGGCAAATTCTACACATGTTATTGACTGGGATAATGTAAAAATACTTAAACAGATAACAGAAAAAGATGAACTAAACATTAGAGAGTCCTTAGAAATTGTTAAAAACAAAATTAATATAAATAGAGATTTAGGCCCCAGGAGCCATGGAAGTAAGTTTTGGAAATCTTTGTTGTAAATGGCGCCACTGTAAAAACATGCTAATTATACACATAAATTGATTCATAAGAAACTTTACATGTACTTTGTGGTTTATTCTTCTGAAGATGGTGGAATTATTTCCACTGAAACATGTAGAGTTTTAAAGTTTTTAACTAAAATTTTTTAAACTTTACAAATAAATCATTATGCAAATAAAAAACGTGATGTCTTGTTTGATTAATTTTATTTATGCAAGAACTCAACTAACAAAACATGTTATTAAGTAATATTGTGTTAGAATCATTCTTACTTTCATTTAAGAAGTTTTTTTTTTAGAAAATTGATTAGCCAATGTCAATCTTAATAGTTGTGCATTCATTCAAAGGTAGATCTAAAGTTAAGCAACGAATTTTAAAGAAAATAAAAGGAAAGTAAGAGCAAAGAAGATCTAGATATACACATTTATTTCATACATATATATTTTATACAAAAATATATTCATTTTTAGAATGCAAATACCACCAGCATGTTCTTTCATTTACTGTAAAAAATCAAGAAACTGATGCTAGTAGATTATCACAGCTAATAATTTTCCACTGTACTTCTAGATATTTGTTTCATATTATATACTCGTGCAGAGTAAATTGTTTTGACATATAATTGATATAACTGATCCCATCTTGACATAGGTCAGCATATTAGCATTCAAGAAAACAGACTTGTTAGTTGAACAGTATTAGGTAATAGTTTGTTTCTTTGTTTGATTCTGTATAAATTATTTCCATATTGCAAAATAAAGTTTTTCTCCTTCTGATATTATGTTTCGAGCAAAATATTAATGATTTTGTCTACTTGTTTATTTGTTTTTAACTGATATTTTTTGCTTGCATAACCTGTGTAGGTAACTATAAATCATTACAGGATTTAACAGAGTATGAATAGACATAATTTATTTGAAGATCAATGAAAAACTAGCAGAATATTTCCATACCTACAACTTCTGTAATCTAGAGTAAATAAAGGTATGTACGAAAGTCTTCTCGGTTAATATGATCTGTGAAGAGATATTAAGATTTGGCTTGAAAAACCATATAACTAGTTTTTCAATTAACAGAAAATTATTTTTAAAAGCTCTTATTTTAAGATTTAATTAATTTTGTTTGATGTATGTGAATTTTCAGGGGGTGTAAATATCCACTAGCCTGACACCTGGGACTACCAAAGTTTCAACTTAGGCTAATGTGAATTCCATACATACTAGCCAGGGACTAGTGTGGTTCTGCTTGTATAAAATGTATGTGTTTAAAATCCAACTCTATATTTATTTATCAAAAATTACTAATATGCTACATGTTGTTATTTTTTCAATCAAATCATTAAATATTTACTGTCACTGAAATTTGTTAAAGTTTTGTAGCCTCTTTATTGATAGTAGACTAATAATCTATCATTAACCTGTCATACATGACTTGGTTACTGACTTGTAACTTCAAAAGTCCAAAGAAAGAACTAAGAAATAACATATCATGGATCAACTAAAACCATCTGCTTAACCTGCTTAACAATATTAACACAAAAACTGAAAGTCGCTTGGAACACAAGCAGAATGTTAAGCTGAATAAATTAATTCCACATAAATATACCAACAGTATTGATCCTAACAAGGCGATTTTTAACTTTAGTGGCATTGTACTCAGTGAACCCTGTAAAAGTGCACTAGCTAAGGGCCTAAAGTTTTTGCTTACCTCCCCATGAACTAAATTCTTTGATAACCTGTTTCTCTTTGAGAGCACTTATAAAATTTTGAAATCTCAATCTATTTTCAACAGAAATGGTTCCCAGAACCTAGAGAACTTTGTAAAAACAAGATTCAAAAATACTGCTTTGTCTTCATTTTACAACTATAACTCCCGCAAATCTGCTTTCACCATTACTCACGAAGAATATACTCCCTAAAGGAATTAGCTAATAACGAAAATATCATCATCACTCGACTTGATAAAGTTAAGTGTTGTTATACTTAATAAACCGAATTACGTTAACAAAATGCAATGTACCCTCAACAATACAACAAAATTTGAAGTTCTTAATGTTGATTGGTTAAAGTTCACCATAAAATGACATCCCTTTAAGACCTATTTTTATCGAGCATCAGTTCCCATACTCATAAATTGGCAAAATTCATCATTCCTATTCTATATTCACTACTTACAATGAGTTTACAGTTAAAGATTCATTTTTGTTTGCACAAGCTATTTCTAAAATTAATAATGCTGATCAATATATATACTTGCTAATTTTGACATTGAATGTTTATTCACAAATATTCCACTTGAGGAAACAATACAAAAACTCTTACGGAAACTTTTCCCAACAAAAATGAAACATAAACAAGCTTTAATCACCAACAGTTCAAAGTAGTAAGTAAACTTGCCCTCACTTTGTCTTCAACAGTCAGCTATATGATCAAATAGATGGCATAGCAATGGGGTCACTTTAAGGCTGACTCTCGCTAATATCTTCCTTTGCTACTATGAATGTTCTTGGTTAGACACCTGTCCCACTGAATATAAACTGGCTCCATATAGAAGATATTATACATTTTTACCCTTTCAAAGCTCTACTCACATCAAACAATTCTTGGATTTTTTATATTTGAAACATTAATTTTACTTGTGAAACTGAAACAAAATGGTAAATTATCTTTTCTTGATATCCAAATTAGCAGATTAGATAATAATTTTACAACATCTGTTTATCGTGAAAAACATATACAGGCTTACATACTCCATCTGACAGTTTATTCAGAATTCCTTTAAACATAACCTTATATGCAGTCTTCTCAATAGAGCATATAAAATCTGTTTTAAGTACCCCTCTCTTCATACTGAAATCACCATCTTACAGAACATTCTAATACAAAATGGCAGTCTTAGTGGCATTTTATTCAAGCCCTAATGCAAGTTCCTTTCTCATAAATTTAAACCTCCAAAGAAACCATAGACTGTTCCTTTTTAGGTAAGCAAAGTTTCATAGTGAAGTCACAAATTTTAAAAATAATTAAAACATTTTATCCACAAGTTCAACTGCAAATGATATTTAAATCACTTTTCGAAATACAAAATCTATTCAGATCTACCCCTATGTGTTCCAGGATCATTTATAAATACACATAAAGTGGCTGTAATGCCACTTACACTGGCAAAACTATATGCCAATTACACCTGTGAGCTTGCATCATATGGGTGTATCAAGCAGAACTGGTAAAAACTATCACAACTTCACCAGACTCCACAATTCGCACACGCAATGAAAACAACAACCACCCCATCTTGATTATGAATTTCAAAATCATATCATCTAGATCATCCAGTATTGAACTTTTAATTAAAGAACATTTATCTGTTATAAATGAACTCCCAACTTTAAATAATAACACAGCTTCACTAGAGTTAAGTCTGTTACAATTGTTGCATTATCCTGTTCTTATTTCTTGGTTGTCTTTTAATTGACTTCATTCCTTTTATTCTGTATTTTAATTATTTTTGTAAAATGTTTAAACTTTATAAAATTTTATACCTAATAATTTACCATGTTCAATATAGCTTGATGAAGATGGAATATGTGTATTCAGAAATGTTCAAGAATTAAATGTTTGTTACTGTACACGTGTCAAATGTTCATTGTTGCTGCTATCATTCTACTGCTCGTCATTAAACTCCAATGATTTAGATTCATACTTATAATTTTCTAATCTACATGATTATTTTTCTCTGGGATTAAAATAGCTATTATTTAATGCAAAGTTTTATTGATAAGGAATAAAATAGTGTTTCAATGAAATGACTTGAACTGCTCACTTTCAACACTCTGGATTTTTCCAAAACAGTCTTACCTCCTCTTACCCAAAGGTATCTTGATCCTTATTTGCCCTCTATACCCCAACAGTTTCATGCCATTTCTGAACACATACATATTGTATTGTGCCATCTGTACTAGCACAGCTAGGTCCCTCTGCTATTCCTGCTCAATCCAAACTTTCTTGATTAGACATGTGCTTAAACTTTCCAAGTGTGACCATAATTTTTGCTTGTGATTTGTTGCTGTTTCTGATGAAGTTTATTCACTAATCTACTAATTTTTGTGATTGAATTTCAATTGTTTTCAAATGTTTACACAATATAGCATTATAATAATTTCTTGATTCTGAATTCTATGCATTCTTAGTATAAATTCAAGGTTTAATGTGGAGAACAATGAAATTCCCGTGACAGGAGATGACTCACAAGGCACGACTTTACAGAATGCAGGGTCGACTTTATCTGCAGAGGAAGTACAAGCCTTGGTATGCAGGGAGTTAGAGTATTACATTCAGCTGCCAAATTCTTCTCCTTTTTCATATGAACCTGTTTCAGAGGAAGTCTACATGCAGATTAAGAAAATTTGGACTGTACTTTTCATACATCTTTCTTTTTTGATTCGTCACATTCTACACTCAGCCAGGAGATTTCATCTCCCATGGGTTCTTGCAACTGGTTAATCAGGTATGTCATGTTTTGAGTATTTCCCCTATGGCCTATGATTCCTCACCTTCCTTATTGGGTGAAATTCCACCTTTAGATTATCATAATTTTCCTCCTTCACCTGACATAAGTGTCCTTTCTCAGAGATTTTCTGACAAACTACAGTTGGGTATAGTTGTGCCCTGTCCCCCTCATTTGTTGGACCAATATGACTTGGCTTACTATTGAGCTTCGGATCTTTTTTTGGATACTCAGTATTTGAATCATTTCCTTCCCCTTTAAGGCTCAAATCCTGGGGCTCCAATCCACTTTAGTCAAGCTCAGTTTTCCAGGATTCATCTTGCCCTGACCTCCCTTTTACATTATCTTTCCTCCCTCCAATTAATGTCTGCAGTCTTTTCAGATGAACTCAGGACCTACATATGGGCCACTATGGCTCGTTTATCAGCCCCGCCTTTTCTTTCAATACTTGGCTGTTGTATTGGTGGAATTTGTTAGGGAAGGATGCAATACTTGAGGGGGTGTGTCTTCCCCTATCCTTCCTGTGGGATCTCCATCAGGCCCCTTTTATGTATGAAACCATTTTTTGAGTTTGTCAAAATTCCTTGAAATCCAGCATTAATGTGGCTAGGTTACATTCTTCCTTATCCTACCTGGCCACACAGTTGTATTATGCTCCTGTTCTCTCCCAGGATTCTCCTGTCCTGGTTTTCCACCCTTACCTTCCTCCAGGTGTTCCTGTCCTTATCCTTGTTTTTCTGCACATGTTTGACCAGAAGCCAGCATTATCGGGGACACAACAGAGGTTCCTGGTCTGGTGAGGACTAGATTGCTTCACTTTTCAGCTGTGTGGCAGCACTTTGTGACAGATCTGTGGGTTCTATGGGTTCTGTTGGATGGTTTCAGCCTGTGTTTTTGGTCCCTTTCCCTTTCACCAGTTTCCTTTCCTCCTCCTTGGGATAGTTTCTGTTTCAGTCGTCTTTCCAAAGCTGTTCAAGACCTTCTGCACAAAGGAGCTATCAAGCAGGTGTTGCTCACTCGACCAGGGTTTTATTGCCGTCTCTTTGATGTCCCCACATACATGGACGATTGGAAACCAATCATAAACCTTTCCTGGTTGAATTCTATTCTGGACCCTCCTTGTTTCACTATGGAGTCCTACTTCTCACTTCAGTGAGTGTTTTCCTCAGGGCTCTGGATGACCAAATTTGACATGACAGATACGTATCTTCACATTTTGATTGCTTCAGGGTCATGTTTTCTTCAGTTCATCCAGGAAAGTCAGATGTTCCAGTTCAGAGCACTGCTGTTCAGTCTCTCCTTGGCTCCTTATGTGTTTTGTCAAATGGTTCACACATTTACTTGTCACCTTCATATGTTGGGTCTTCGAACTCACCATTACATGGGCAACTTGCTCCTGCTTGTGTCTTCCTGTGTTCAGTCAGATTATCACACACATTGACTTCTCCATAAAGCAGCATGGGAGGGTTTTCTGATCAAGTTGGAGAAGTCTGTTCTTTTCCCCACACAATAACTGGTTCATTTGGGGATTTTCTTCAATTCACACCTCAGTCAGGCCCAGCTTTCTCCTCTTTGTTTCACAGATCTGGAGTAAGCAGTCACATGCATTCACTTCAGTGGACACTCCTTGATTACTGGAACTTCTCCCTTGATCCCTTGGATCATCCTGTTACCCTTCCTTCCATGATCACAGCTGACCTTTCTTGGTGGCTCAACAGGGATCAGACTATGGTGGTGTTTCCCATTCCTCCACCTCATCTGGAGTTACATCTGTTTACAATTGCATCTTTGGTGGGTTGGTCAGCTTTCCTTCACTCACAAGAGATTTCCAGTCTGTGATTGGTCCAGAAGTCTGCACTCCATATGAACATCCTCGAGCTCTTAGCAGTTCATCAAGCTTTGACCCATTTCCTTCTACTTCTGAGGGGGCAGGTGGTTATGGTGCACTCAGACAATTCCACTGTCATCAGTTATCTCACCAAGCAAGGTAGAACCAAATCCAGGTCTCTGTGTTTTCTGACTCTGGATCCTTTTTTGCGGGTCCAAGGTCCCCACATGGTGGTCTTGGCTTGTCATGTTCCTGGTGCTATGAATCTGGTTCCAACCAAGTTCTCCTCACAGAGTAATCCCTTCATCAACAGGTGTTTTGGTCTTCCATTCCACACCCATCAGATCTGGGAGAAGATGCATTAAATCAGAATTGGAGGGGACTTCACATCTATGCTTACCCTCTGATCTGACTCCTATTCAGAGATCTATCCCTCATACAGACCACTCCCTGTCTAGTCCTGCTTGTTGCTCCATATTGGCCTGCTCTGCCATGGTTCCCTCTGCTTTGGCCTTTAGTTGTGTGACATCCCCTGCCCTCACCTCTGTCTCGGTCACCTCAATCACACATTGTTCATCCGGACATCACCAAACTCACTCTTCACACTTGGCTTTTGTCAGATCCCTTGCGTCAACCCAGGGTCCGACTCCTCGAGTTGCCACTATCCTTTCCCAAACCATCAGATCATCCATGACTGTTTACCAAAGGTGTTGGTCTACCTTCCAATTTTTGCTGTTCTCAGAAGGTTCTGTACCTCCACTACTTCAGTCACTCAGCTTTCTCAATTCTTCATGTTTGTCCATTTTGACTGTATCTAGTTATCAGGACACCCTGTTAAATACCTTTCATTTCCCTCAGTTCTCTAAGGTTTTCTCTTTTCCTGTTATTTCCATCCTTTTCTGTTTCTTTTGTATTGTCCTTCCTCCACATTCTTTGTTTTACTGGATTGGGATCTTAATGTAGTCCTATATGCCCTTTCTGGTTCTCCCTTTGAACCTCTTGCTACATGTTCCTTGTACCATATTTCACTTAAGATGTATTTCCTTCTCCTCCTCCTTACTTGTGGTCATCATTGTTTGGATATTTATGCCTTTAATGTTTCCTGCACCCTTTACCATTCCTCTTATATTATCCTCTACCCTACCAGTCCTTCCTCCCTATAACCTATACTGCTTAGGAAGGTGGTTTAGCTTTCTCACCGATTTTCTTACCTTCAATTTCCCAACTGTACTCCTGCTCCGATCTGTATGTGTTATGTGGCTTGCACTGCCTCCTTTTGGAGTTTGCATTCCCATCTTTTTATTCTGTAGAACCCCAATATTTCCCTTGATCTGTCACATGTTACTCTCACTGGTTAGGTTTGTCAAGTCAGAAGGATGCCGTACTTGGACTTGTCCATGGAAGGTTGCCATCTTCACAATGTCTCTTCGCATCAATTTCATCATATTACTATGTCTTTGGCTGCTCATCTTAGCCATCCTTTGGAGGAGATTGTTCACACCGGAGTGTGGACTACTCCCAATACCTTCATCTCACATTATCTGCACAATCTGGCTGTTTCTTCCACTGCCTGATATCGTTTTTCTCCTGTGGTGATTCTACACACGTCCATTCACCTTTGACTAGGGTAAGTCTGATCTCTTCCTTTCTTTTATGTTTTCTTTTTAGCTCCCTAATCATAACATCTTTTACAGATCCCCCCTTGTGGCAGGTGTTTCCTGGTCAGATATGTTTTGCCTCAAACCTGCACTATCTTGGAGTAATTATATAATGCTCACTGTTGAAATGGGGTGTTTCTGTCAGACTACTGGCTGCTTACCCAGTGGTATATATATATATGTATGTACTAGATATCAATTATTTTCAATCTATGATGAACTGTCACTCATGAACTTCCTAAGTAAAGCAGAAGGTGATTTTTGCCGATCCCTGCTGACCTTGGATTGCATATATCAGGGTTGGTCTTCTTTTCAAAACAGAGAATTGTAGGCACCCATTGCACAGTCTTTGGTGTGACATTCCTCTGGACTCCCCACCGCATTTTTCTCCTCCTTTTGTTTTTTCTAATGGAGCATAGGAGTTCTTACCACTCTCAGTTCCCGATATTTACTTTGAAATACTCATGTTTATCCACTCAGTGAGAATAGGGCTAAGCTGGATAAACTACTTCTAGACAAAGTACTTCATTCGATTGATCTTGCGTTTCCCCTGAATATTTTTGCCGGGGTGAGCCACACTAGACTAAATCACTTAATCAATTATATAAGCCACTTCCTCTGGATGTTTTTGCCTGAGTCAGTCATATGAAGCACTTCCTCTGGGTGTTTTTTGTCTGTGTGAATTGCACTTGACAAAATCACTTACTCAATTATACAAAGCACTCCCCTGGATTTTTTTGTCTGGGTGGACTGTACTTGACACAATAATTTAATCAATTTATGATGCACTTCCCTTGGATGTTTTGCCTGGGCATACCACACTAGTCAAAATATCTTATTAATTTTATAATACGCTTCCCCTGGATGATTTTGCCCAGCTGGACTTCCCTAGACAAAATATCTTAATCAATTTTTAGGTGTTTCCCCTATATGTTTTTCCCCAGATGGACCGCACTAGATAATAAAACTTCATCAATGGGTCACAACATCAAAACCCAGCTTGAGTTTCCCCTGGATGTTTTTGATCAGGTGGACTACACTAGACAATATAATTTTATCAATTGATAAAAAAGATGGCCCAACTTGAGTTTTTTTTTTATATTCTTGCCCAATAGACCAACTACCTTATTCAACTGATGTCATAAAATGACCTACTTGTGTTAACCCCTGGATGTTTTTGCCCAGGTGGACTGCTCTAGACAATTTCCTTAATCAATTGATATCTTCATGTATACATTACATGGTCCTCATGCCCTAGCCACATGTTGTTATTCTGTTTTTCACATTAGTACAGTATTAGGCACAATCCTGTGAAAAAATGGTAAATACGTTCTTCAGTACATCCAGCACTACTATCTTATGTCCAGTGCTGTAAGTAGTATTACAGCATTCAATTGTGTCTGTTTTTCCATTCCACCCATTTTTTGTTACTTTCCTGTTCCTTAGGCAAAGAGCACACCTGTTCCAGAAGTACTGTGGTACCCTACTGGTGTGCTTAATTTTCATCTCATAGCACACCCATTTATTCTCATTGGTCGCTTTCTGCTTGGTTTGATATTTGTATGCCTAAATTGGCCTCTCCACCTTTGCAATGTGGAATTCTAGCTTTATGTGAAAGTAGATAACACCATTTCTTAAGTTAACATTTTCTTACTCTGAAAATGTATTTTTGATAGGTGCTTACCTCTTTTCATACTTCCCACCTTTCTTCCCCACTGTTGGTGTTCTTATGTTAATACCTGATGATTAAGTAGGAATAGCAGAGTGAGCTAGCTGCACCAGTATAGATGGTGCAATACTATTGGTAAAGAGCAGTTACATGATACGTACATTTTCAGAAATGGTGCAAAACTGATGGGGTATACAGACTGATGCGCTGGTGGCAAAAATTTTTTTACCAATGCTTAGAGGATAAACAAAGATTGAGATGGCTTTGTGTGAGATAATGTAAGTACCTGTCGGAAATACATTTCAGTGTAAGAAAATGTTAACTTTCATAGGTATGACAGAAAAGGGGCACTGTTTAGTTCTTTAGATTTTGTTGTATATATAGGCTGGATAACATGCTAACATATTTTACATTTTTTATATTCTAAATTATATTTTTAATACATCAGAAATAACAGTCTATAACAAAAAGATTTTACATATATGCATCACATATGCTGTAGCAAATTGTATTATTTTTAGTTTTGTAATACTGTGGAATGAATCACTGCAATGAGTATAGATATGTATATATTTACAATGTGTAGTAATTTTAGTCATTACAGTAGGAAATAAAACAATTGGTCTAGTAGAATTTCAGTTTGAGCTATTACATTTCTTATGCCTACTAGCCTGAGCTAATACATGAAAAAAAATTACTTGCAACTCTGATTTTAAACATGCATGTAGTAGAGACATTCTAAGTCTCTGATATTTTCTTTATTAAAGATAAAAATCTTAACATGCTGTGTAATATATTTAGCTTTAAAATGTTTGCATAAATATTCAAATTTTATAAAATATACTATATTTTCAGATAATGGGATAGCAAGGTAAATTCTCGTTATATTTGAGTTTAAAGTAATTAGAATTCTTTTTCATAATCATAAGCATTAATTTTATATTTTGATTTCAATGGACTTAGCTCTTGCTTAGAAAAAGTTTAGATTAATGCCATTGAGATATTTGTTTTTACATGATTATTCTGTGTTTGTGAACTTGCTATAAGTGTTCTTAAAATGATTTTGCAATATCCTTTTTTTTATCATCTGTTTCTTATTTTGGTAACATTTTATTCTTTTCAGAATGTCTGCATTAAAGCGAATATTTCACTGGGGACCACTGATTGCCCTATTTATCATCAAGTCCATAACCTTCTCCACACTGTACATGACATCCATGTTTCTTCCACCATTAGGGAGTTTGTGGGGGTGTTTTAATCATATAGTATTTCTGAGTTTAGTAGGATGTACATTATACAATTTCTTCATGGCCATGTTTGGAGGACCAGGGTTTGTTCATTTTGGGTGGAAACCTGTAAGTTTTGGTGCTATATCAACTATGTCAATAGAAATTTTGATTTTCAGCACCTTGTTTAACCCATTCACTGTGGCTGATACATATTTGGCCTTTATATTTTTTCTGTTAACTGTATCTGGTATACATATGGATTCTTGCTTTCAAAATTCCTGCATTAGGTATTGGATTGTAAATGTTTGTGGTAATGTTGTCTATCAACATTCCACTATATGTTGCCATATCATAAGTCAATTATTTCTGCCTTCTATGTATCAGTATCCCTCAAGATGTCAGAGAAGCAACACCAAAGTGGGAAAATCCAGATTATTTTATGGATTTACTAGACAGCATTGACTCCAACGGGCTTATGCAGTGAACAGAAAAACATTTAGAGGCTATATATGTACCAGCCACAGTGAATGTGTTAATAGTGGAATGGCTGCACTTTAGTGATTTTTTTAAATATGGAAGAATGGGAAGAATTATTAACAGGGTACAGGAAAATTTTAACAAAGAAATGGATATATAGAATTGAAGAACAAATTCAAATGGAACTGTTTGAGGAGTAATGTCATTGTGAAGGTGGATTTGCTGGGGAAGAGCCAATCACTTGCTCACTGGGCATACCTTCAAAAAAAAGATTAAAATAATTATTTAATTTTCATTTCAAAATGATAAATAGTAGCTGCTCTATTTCTTGGTTAAAAACAGCCAACTAAATGACAGTTCAAGAATACAGAAAATAGCCCAGAATGCACCTCAGAACATCTAAAATCCTGTAACCTAGCTCCCCTAGAATGGGATTTACTGGGATTAAATGGGATTTAATGTTTTTTGTTCTTTGAAGCCATTTTCATCTCTTCTTAATATTCATTATAATATAAAATGGCTCATAAGTTACATTGTTTGAGATGAACTTTGGCTTAAATTCTAAAAATATTTATAGAGAAATTCATTTAATTGCTTACATGATAAAGTTTATGATTTTTTATTACTAAACTTGTGAAGTATTAAATGAGCAATTATGTTTTCGAAAGCATTTAGTTGAGGTAAAAATAATAACTAAAGATATATAAATGGTTTTTCATGGTAATAGATGCTGGTTAAATGATTACTGTGATATGTGTATAAAATGACTTGGCTGAAAATTTTCAGCATTATTTTTCTTTTAGCGTCCAGATAATTATTATAATTTTTTCAAGGCTAAGGAAGAAAATTTAAAATTCTTGCAATATTGTACCTTTTGTGAAGGCTACAAAGCTCCCCGAGCACACCATTGCCGGAAGTGCAAAAGGTAAGTGGGACGCATTCATTCTATTTGGATATTGTGTGTGAGATTCTATGCATGTGAACTGAAAGTATTTTCATTGAAACATTTACTCATATTTAAAATTTTTCTGTGTTCATTATCCTGTATAAAATATTAAAAGGTATGAGATATTTTAGCAGCCAATATTATACACACTTTCAAACATGTTTGCAAAAAACAATAAATTGGTTGTGCATTTAAACTATGACTAAAATATTATGTGTAATGTTTGTAATTTTTATTTTTACTACTTAGATTTGAAGTATTTAAAAAAGCACTTGCCTCTTTATTTTTTAGATTCACACAATGTACTTCACACACACACACAAACAGAATATGAGACATGTTTAAGAAGTCTACGCATTAGCACAAAGAATGGTAGATTTGTGCTTGTAGGAGCAGAATTAGCATTATACTTGTGATGATAACAGGTTGTTGAAATTGATATTGAAGATGAGAAACATTTTTACCTTATTTCACTTATACCACTATTTTATCTTGTTATTCATATAAAATTACTTTAGTACAAAAAATTCTGTTCCTGGGTTACTTTTACATATCTTCCATTTTAGCATAAAAATCTTTGTAGTAGGCCTAATTTAATTTAAATGAATTAAGTAATTTATTTAAGTGAACCAAAATGGATAAGCTTAAAGGAAATTTTAAAATATGCATTATGTAGGTAAATAATTTCACATTAATTTTGCATAATGTAAGCCCTAAAAAAATTGCATTTTAAGACTATGGTTTTAGGTTTAATTAATTTGGTTTTATTGCTCCCATGTAGTGAAATACTGAACTGTCTCACCAGGAAGACTTAGTATAACTAATTTTACCAAAAACAAAAAACTACCACAAACATGATTAATTTAATAATGTTACTGACATGTAAACTGAAACTGTAGACTGACAGCATCCAAAGATGAGAAAACTGTATTCAGACAAATCTCATATTTGCCTTGATTTGTACCACCCGTCCATTAATTCTGTCATAACTGATATCTCAAATTAGGCAAGGTAAGGTGGTTATATCATTAAATGTTTTAATTATTTACCAGCAGTTTTATTTTTCTATAACATCTGAATACTTGATGTTATTCATAGGAAAAAATATGAAAGGAAATCATTTTTAAGGGCATTTTTCTTACAACAATAAGTCATACTTAACGTTTTCAGTTAAATTGTGCAGATTCAAGGAGAAAATTTGGTAGGAGATAAGGGTATGTTTAGAAGCCTCCAAATCCCAAGTTAGTTTTTCTCATTGACACGCCTATTATTTAAGTGTTTGAATATTTGAATATCTGTGACCTATTCTGTATCAACTTGTAATTATTCCATTCATCTATATTTTTTATTTCCACTAAAAACTTTAAATTAGAGTGCAATTGTGTGTATTGTACATTTTTAATATTTTTATCATATACACTTTGAGGGTATACATTTGTATCATGTGAATTTAATTGTACTTTTTTACTAATCATTATTTTGGGGGACAAGCATGACCTAGTGGTTAGTGTGCCAGGCTATGGATCTGAGAGTTCATAGTTTGTGCTTGTTGACACAAAATTTAAATTAACATAATGATAGTTTATCACCTTTACATGATTGCCGATATGCATTTATGTGCTAGTAAGTGTCATCTATCTTGAACATTTTGATAACTTCTAAACTATGTTAATATATTGTAAGAATTATCAGTTTTTATTATAAGATCAATATAGGCTTTTGTGCATGAAAATAACCTATTTTTAAGAGATTTCAAGTATGTAACTTTTATACAAATAATTTTTTGGATTTCAATTTGACCTCAGAAACAACTGTTGTTTTTAACATGGTGTACAACCCTAAAAGTAGCTTAATTTGATTTTTTTTTCAACAGGTGTGTTATGAAGATGGACCATCACTGTCCATGGATTAATACATGTTGTGGTCACAAGAATCATGCCCACTTCACTTTCTTTTTGTTCTGTGCAGTATGCGGTTGCTGTCATGCAACAGTGCTTCTTATTATCGGTCTTTACCGTGCCTTTCATTTGGTATGTGTATGACTACAACACTAACATATCAAGAATCATGTTCTTTAATGTTGGCTACCTGACTTCTCTCTAGTCTATCAATTCAAAGTTAGTGATGGCTGAATATATATAGTCTTTCATGTATCTTTGCACAAGTATAGAGAAACAAACATAAAATCAATTACAACACTAGCTTGGAAGGCAGTGACCTAAAACATACAGCCAATAAATTACATTTATTAAAAGAGACAATACATCACTAAAATGACATAAACAATTATTTTTTTTCTAAACAATAAATATGAGAAATATTTTATTACTAGTGTCTTTGCAGTTTTTGACAAACTTTCTGTTAGACTAAGCAAATTAAAAATACAGAATTAGTTTGCAAATGAAATACTAATTTGTTACGTTGTCATTCATATTGAGTATAGATATTGTAATAAAACCAGTTCCCTTTTCAGTTTGCAGTTGTAATAAATGTTTTAAAATGTATTTCAGAATGCTTATTTATATTAAAAACTTCAAAGGTAAGTTATATGCTTAACTTTTTATTATGCTGCAAAAAGAAACAAATAAAGTTGTAACATATTACCCATAACAAAGTATAAGCATTGTTATAAATAATGTTCCTCACTTCTTAATTCATTATTATGCAAGTCAGCCGTGATTGTGTGATTTGGATGCAAATAGTTGGTCATTAAGCATATACATAGAAATAAGCATTTATTAGAGGTGTATTTACATAATTACTGTTCATTTCTTTATGGAATATGGATAGAAAGGACATACTGATACTGATGTTTCATGCTAAGTATTAAGAGTATTGATGAGATTCAGAAATATGTTTGATCAATTTTCCAGAAGAGGTGTTTTGAAAATATCTTTAGTGTCTGAAGTCATGTAATGAGATGTAACATCTCTTTAGAATATCCCATATACATATACACACTAGTACAAAGCCCGTCAAAAATGATGGGGCAAGTACTTATACCCCCACCCCATCGATATTTTTACTTTCATGATAAATTTTATGCACTTGTCTCTAGGCTATGTGATCCCACACTACAATTTTACTTTAGCCTTATTATACCAACACTCACTACACTTAAAAGGTTTCATGATGGCACCACCCCTGTCACTAAAATTGTCATGGGCACACAGTAATTGAACTATTCTATCTAAATAAATGCATTTTGGCTTTTATGACTCCTCCTATTTCAAGAAATCATGAGAAGTCAAGCATGACGTGACGTGACACACAGTGGATTTTATATAGGTTATATATAGATAATGACATTCAAATCTTGAGATTATATAGACAGCTTCATTTTGCCAATCTGATCTTTAATATCATGTGGGCAGATGTTATCATCTGTCAAGCTGAAGTAACAATCAGTTGTACACCATTTCGGGGGAAAAAAGGGTCATAAGATATGGTCCCTTTCATGTATCTGTCATTAATGGCATTGGTGCCATATTCACCAGTGCTTTTTCCTGCACATGTCATACCTTCACTATGCCAGCATCATATTACTATGTCAAAAAGAAATTGGATGTGTTTCCATATCTTCTCCAAATAATTATGTGCCTTTTACCAAGCTATAGAGTAAAGCAAGACTCATCTGTAGGAAGAATACTGTTCTGCATCATTGATCCACTTGCCTCATTAGGTGTCTAGCATACAGGCAAACCATGTGAAATTGTTTATATGTGTTTGTTTACTTACACAGCATCCAGTTTCAGAGGGTTACCCTATGATTTTGGTGAACCAGAATAATAGGTAGTGGTCATTTGCTTGTGTTATGGATGATGGTCTGCTTTGTCTAAATGTATGCGTAACTATAACATTAATTTGGAAGCAATTTTACCAGTCTCACATTTGACTGATAATATTTTGAGATGCATGTAGTCTATTCACAGCAAGCTGCTGTCTTGGGATGGTTTTCATTTTCCGAAATACACTACCCCACTATATCCCCCTAGTAATTTTAATTTTGTGGCTCTCTTCATCTACGTCAGCACGCCTTCTATATCCGAACTGTATATTAGCTCTACATTATTCTTTCTTATTCACTTTTTCTTGATGGCAAAAATTACAAGGATGGCCTTATGAGTTTACTCTAGGCTTTTCTTTAGTGTTATTACTACACTTGCAACATTTTCTTTCAAATTATTTTAGATCTTTTTTGTGGGGATTGATTTTGTTTTTATGATTTAAAAAAATTTTTGGAGACATTTTACGAATATGAATACTCCCTTGCATGTCTTAGACATGGAGTTGCCTGATGCTCCTTCTCTACCGACTTATGAGTCTAACATTACTCAGGTGTCGGGGGGGGGGACCTTCCGTGGAGGACATACAGTTTCTTATATGCAGAGAGGTAGAGTCTCACAGGCAATTTGATGCTTTTTCTCCTGTTGGTTTGCTTCTGAACCTCCTGCACCCTTTTTACAACTAGTATGCCATATTTGTAATGTTTTGAGTATTTCTCCTATGGCTTATGAATCTTCACCTTCTTTACTGGGAGAAGCTATTTTGTCTGGTACTTCCACCTTTGCCAGATATTGCTGTGCATACAAGGAGATTTGCAGATCATTTGAGGGAAGATGTTGCCATGCCTTATCCTCCTCATTTATTGGATCAGCATGCCTTGGCTTTCCATTGCCTAGAGAACCCTTATTTGGACACTCATAAGTTATATCCTATACTTCTTACTTGGGACTCTAGACAAGATGCCACTGTTCATCTTAATCAATCTCAGTTTTATATAATTCGTCAGTCACTTACAAATTTTTGCATTTTTCATCATATTTGCAACTGTTGTCTGAAGCCTATCACATATCTGCTCAAATTTTGGAGGATCTTATTCATTAATTGACTTCCACTTTGGGCAGGTTATCAGCTTCTGTCCTTGGAATCCTGGTTGGTTTGTTGCTGGAATCTTTTAAAGAAAGATGCCTTATTGGAGGGAGTTTGCCTTCCTATATTGGCTCTTAAAAATCTCAGAGAAGCACCTTTTCTCAGACAGTCTTTTTATTTGGGAGTTCTAGACTCCATGGAATCTAGAGAAGATGTGGCCTGTCAACATTCTTCACTTCTACACTGGCTTCTCGACTGTCCCAAAGTTCTTCTACAGGATGGTTTACTGCATCTCCCATTCAAGTTTCCAGACCTCCTGCTTTGGCACCATGATCTGTTGCAACAAAAGGGCAATTTTGACCTTACTAGGGTGGAGCAAAGATTTTGGCATTGGTGACTACCTTATGGGGTCATGTCCTTTGGGTTCTTATCTCAGAGGGTTTATATCAGTAAGGAAGACATTCACCACAGATCAATGGCTCATTCAAGTTCTCAGGAGCGGATTGGTCATTCAGTTTACGTCTCCTCCTCCTCGGTCTTTGGCTTTCCACTTCCGAAGGACCTTCTTATTTCCAACCATCAAACACAAGCCATCCAGGATCTTCTGCACAAAGAGGCCATAGAGCATGTCACCTCCTCTCTTGAGGGTTTTTATTCTCAGCTGTTTGTAGTACCGAAAAGATGGGTGATTGGTCCTAGACCCTTGACATTTCCATCACTTCCTCCAGCTTACAGCTCCAGCTCAATTTACAGTGGAGTTGTTTCTTTCCCTTTGGTGGCTCTTTTCACTCGGACTATGGATGACAAAATTCAATGTCACTGATACCTACCTTCATATCCTGATCACTGAGTCTTCAAGATGTTATCTCCATTCCGTGCACGACAACCAGGTTTTTCAGTTTCATGCTCTAGCATTTGGCCTCGCATCTGCTCCATACGTTTTTGCCGGATAGTCATTTTTTTGCATCATCTCCATCCACACTGATTTTATATGTAGATGCTTTCAGTGTGGATCTTGCCTTCACCATCCCCTCTACCTGGTCAATATGAGATTCTAGCTAAAGTGTGAGAGGGGGTAAGTGCATTTTGGAAGTTTACATTTACCTATACCGAAAGTGTCTTTCTGATAATACCTACCTTCTCACATTGTTCCTCTCTCCCAATAGCCAGTGTTCAAATCTGAAAATCTTGCCAGTCTCGAAAAAGTGAAAAAGAGAGAATAATGGAGGGCTTATATATGGATTGGGTATAGAGGGCTCATTGAAGTAGGTGGAGAGAGTCACAAGATTAAAATCACTAGGGCGATATAGTGTGGTATAAACACTGGAGCAAACAAGGTAGAATTAGTCACAATGCATAGACAGGAGAAGAAGAGAACATTTTGTTGTGATAAAGCTAAAGTGTGAACGGAAGTAAGTATTATCGGAAATACACTTTCAGTATAGGAAAATGTAGACTTTTGATGGCTATCTGTAGTGAAACATCTAAATGTTTTCTTAAATGTTTGGCCATGGTTTATGAAAATTTTGTAACTTTTTAAACTGTGTGATTCAGTTCAAAGTAATGTCTGAGACAAGATTATGTGAAATTCTTTTATATCTATATATAAATATATATATATATATATAAAATACATATATATTAGGTTGTCAAGAAATTAATGTCGCATTTTGGAACACTTTAATTAACCACTCCCCAAAAACATACATCACTTATAATAGTTAAACAAACTGCCTAAATGTCACGTTAGTGTAGCCTATATAATGTGTAAAGTTAGTATACTCTAATCCCTTATAGTGATGGCACATGACGAGACACACATTCGGCATGTAATGATGTTTGAATACAAGAAGGGAAACACCTTTGTAGCTACAAAGAATATCAAAAAAGTTTATAGAAATGTTTTGAATGTTCGTAAGTGTCAACGATGGTTAAGCACATTTCGTTCAGGTGACTTTAGCCTTAAAAACTGTGATGGCAGGAGTCAACATGTTTGAATTGATATCCATGCTCTGAAGATGCTTGTTGTGTCTAAACCAAGGCAACACACTCTTGAAATGGCCCTGAAATTGCACGTCTCTCATGAAACAATATGTAAACATCTAAGGAATATGAGAAAACTCCATAAAAAAAGGTGTTTGGGTGCCTCACAAACATT